ACAGCTGTCATATACCCAACTGGAATAATAATCCACAGTAGGAGATAGATGATCATGATGTCACGGCATGAAAACCATGATCCAAAGTCCAGCACCTACAAGTCTATTAACAAAGGAAAGAGACGTGGCGAGGATAAGAGAGTTTCAAAGCCCAGTCTAAGATGCAAATGCATCAGGAAGACATGCACCTGAGATGAGCTGCTCCAAGAATTCCTCAGGTAGTTAAAGAGGAAAAGGAACTGTCATGGACAATAAAGCCTCTACATGTGGAGTCTACCACAGCCGAGAGATTCCAAGTTACACACTGTACAAAGGTGCGCCAGAGACTATTCAACATACAGTAGCAGGATGTCAGAGCAACCTGGGACAGCGTCCCTGATAAGGATGGATGAATGGATATGTAATAGTTATTTACAATCACAAAGTAAATAATTGATCTTAAGTAATAAATAACTGATTAGTAAATAATGTATTACTTCTGTACTTGCTAAAGCCTCAATATTAGCAGCGACTTAAAGCCTAAAAAATGTAAAAGCTCTACATGATCACATTTTATTCATGTACCTACAGACACAAGTGAGAACAGTGTTTATTCATTGCTTTAATATTTAAATAGAAACTGTAATACATTTTCAATGAATTGATTTGGTCAAGCTGCTGTCACAGTGTGGTGCTGTGGACTCAAAGCAGGAATCAAGCACGAGGGAATAAATTCAAAAAGGCAGCTTTTACTACTGGGAATACTCTTACACTAATACAGAAAATAAAACCAAAAACAAGAAACTAGGGACTCAAACCAAAAAACTAAGAAACTAGGGAACTAAACTGGGAACAGAGAAGTAGGAAATACAGGGAGCACTGAGGAAATACACAGAACATTGGGGTGGAGATGGTACAATGCAGATATTTCAAAACAACTTTACTGGATCAACACGATTCTCAGGAAAAAAGACTTGTTATATCTTACTTAAAGATTTGCTTTGACACCCTGGGATTGTACTTGTGCTGTTAAATCGCTGTCAATACATTTTTTTTTTTTAATTTAAAAATTGCTTTCTTTGGTAAAACACAAGTGCAGTTTTATAATGACTGAAATATACTTACGACTGAAGGGACAATGTTTTTACACACATAATCAGAACCTAGCAAAAACCTTTTAACTATTCCATCTATTGGCATCGTACTCCACCATTATGCTATCAAACTGAGAATATAAAGTCAATATTAAGCAATGTGTTAATTATTGGACCAGTGGGGCAATAAATAAATATCAGAAAAAGTTTTATAATTAACAGCTATTCAGTTTCCATCTTGTCTACAGTTTCATGAGCCTTATTAATATGGATGACATTTCATTTTTAATCAGGTTTAATCAATAAACTTCTGAGGATGGTGAAATGGGGTAACTGTCTAAATACAGCTAAGTTTCATAACCGTGAGTCTGGAGAAGTGCTCTGAAGTTTAAATCTTATCTGGAAATTGTGGTTTCTGTGGTTCATTCAATTTGCTACAGGATCTGAAGATAGTGACAACTGGCCAAATCAAACAGTTCCTAGGAACAGTATCATGGACTTGCATCTGACTTCTTCAATTGTAGATAATTAAATAATCAAAAACTCTAATTTCTGAAATGCATTCATTAATTGTGAGACAACACAAATGGTTAAAATAAAGAAATGAAGGAGAGAAGGAAACATATTTAGTGCACGTGCTGTTGCACCAGATCTAAAAATCAATATTTTTTTTTACATTACTTACTGATAAAAAAATCGTAAACCATCCAGATCCAATCTACCAACTTCTCACCAACAAGTGAGAAGTCAAATGAGCATTTATTAGATTAAAAAAAAAAACTGGATGATTGGTTGGTTGTTGCTAATAGACTTAAATTAGTTTATGTATTATTTTATGACAACGCACAGACGTCCAAGCTCCATATATCGGTTGTTAAGCTTAACGCAGGGATGCTTTGCAAACATTCAGAGAGCAACTCACACACTTGCTTTACTTCTCTGGGACTGCTTGCTCAGAAATGAAATGCCGGTTTGGCAGCACATCCAGATGAACAACTTTTTGGGTTTGACAGTAATCTAGTTACTGTAATTCTCTGATTAAAATAAGGAGACAATAGTTTACAATTTAGAAATGTTCCTTAAATGAAGAGAGGAGTCAGATCTTATGCTGAGATAATGAGCAGTGGATGGACAAAAAAAAGTAATCACTTGACTGATTCTTGAATGTATATCGGGAGCAGCTATTATCACGGCCTTGGTGTTACAGGAGTTTAAAGCAAAGCAGTTATTGGAGAGCCAGCCACAAATCTCGAATAAACAATCAACTAAGGTCTATTCAGCTGACAAGGCTTAAAAGACATAAGCAGCAGAATATCATTGGCATGGAAATAAGAAACAAAAGAATGGAATAATGCTGAAGGTAGCATGTAAAAAACAAAAACAATAGACCAAGGACTGAACTTTGTGGAACCCCACAGGTTAGAGAAGCAGTGCTAGAGAACTTGTTCACCCTAACAGACAATCTTCTTTCAGAAAAATAGGAGGAAAACCAGGCTAGTGCTTAACCAGTGATGCCAGACAAAGCCTTGAGGCTATAAAGCAAAATATTTTGGTGTAACTGTATTAATGGTAACATTATATCATTGATGCACCTGTTAATTCTGTGAAATCTTCAATCAAATTAATTATGTGGGGTTTTTTTATGATCGCAATTTAAAAACACACACAATCACACACAATGTATTACCTATGAGACAGTGTGATAAAAAAAAACACTGCTATATTCTATTTGAAAATGTAAGAGAAGCAAAATGATTTTTACCTCATCAAATATGTAAATAAATAAGCCACAAAGGGCTCGTTTGACAAAGAACAAATCAAGAATGTGGCCT